AAACTCTCTGTGCACCTTCATAACTGGTCAGTCTCCCAGTTCTTATTTACAATACCCAATAGGGACCTCAATGGGGCACAAGGCCATAGAGTCTTACCCTCCAAAGCACCCATTTTCTCCAGGGGAACTGATCTCTGTAGTCTGGAGATGAGCTGGAATTCCAGGGGATCCCCAGGTCCCACCTGGAGGCTGGCATCCCAAGCGTCACCCCATGAACCCAAAGTATCCCTCACACACACACACAATCATGAACTTATCATGTACAATTTGGCACCCGTCGGTGGGACTGTATGTGGCAAGGTAAACATGGAATTCTCCACAGTGTCTGTCTTAAATCCTCCTTGCCACCCACAGCTGCTTCTCAGCTACAAATGCTGCTTCCTGCCTTCGTTTTTTTTTATTCTGCTGTTTCCTCAGCCAGGCTCTGAGTCTCAAGGTAAACCCGGTCTGGATGGGGAACCAGGAGACAAGAAGGTGACTCACAGCTTTAATTATTATTATTTTTTAAGTGTCAAGCAGGGGCAGATCGAGAATAGGTTGCCTGTCAGAAAATGGGAGGGGTGTTCTAAAGAATGCTTGTAAAGGATGTAAAAGTACAGTGCATATTGCTATCAGCTTGATTAGAACAGAGGGGAAATGCTTTGGGTTAGAAATTTGGCATCTGTAGTGAGATAAGAATCCTATGTCCCTGTTCAGCCCCGGGGGGGGGGGGGGGTTCCTATCCGACCTGCCAAGAACCTGGCAGTCTGCTGATTCCTCCTTCCTCCTTCCTGCTTCTGGCATGGCAGCTCCTTTCCCCCAGTCTCTCCTATTTCCTGCTGGGCAACGTAGAGGGGGGAAAAGCCTTCCTTTGATTTGCTGAGGGGGCTTGATCAGACCAAGTTTTATTCAGGTACAAGCTCTCCCTCCTCTGCGAGAACAGATCTGCACGTGTTCCCCCCCCCCAATAGCTAGCAATCCAAAACAGACCAGTGGAGTCTAAGTGGTGGGTGTTGCCTTCTGACACACTTCCGGTGATGTCAGGGGGTGTGGCATATGCAAATGAGTTATGCTAATGAGCTCCTGCACCTCTTTTTCTACGCAATGACCCCTGGTTGCTAGCAATGTTCCGTCTAAGCTGTGGAGTCTTGTGAGCAAAAATTCTATATTGTGAGCCTACTGGTGTTAAAATTGTGAGCGAGGGATTTGGCTTCTGCATAAACTA